TAAATTGTCTGTGGTTAAATATGTGAAGGATGAAGCAGTCATCATCCAAAGCAGCCTTCACAAAAACTGTACGAAAAGCAGAGACAAGCCTAAAACATAGTCTAGGATCTAAAGTTTCCACCTCTCAGCCTCTTCCTCCCTCCAGTCACAACTCCCTTCTCCTGCTGGGATGTGTGTAGACCTGAAGGAGAGGGGGGAAGCACTACTAGACGGTGTGCCAGGAACAATGACCTCCTCTTGATTTTTTTTTGTTGGTACCCTATACTACAGTAGAAGATCGTGGCAATAGAAGATTTTTCTGAGGTGTTGAGCTTGCACAGCAGAAATAAGGTCAGCAACTCCTCAGCTGCTTGCACTGACACTTGCTGAAGTCTTTCATCACCCCAGCAGCCCTCTCCCTTTGATCCATACAATTCAACATTTCCAGCACAGGTAAGGAAAGGAGCATGGATGGTGGAAATCACCTTTGTGGCCTCAGACAGCGGACAAAGCTGGGGCATCCATGGAAGTGGCACACTAAACAGCATAAAACAGGAGCAGCCCAGGCCAACACTGAGCCTGTGCGCAGGTGGAGTACAAAACAGGAATGGCAAATAGAGCAATTTGCAGAGGGCAGGAAGCAAAGGAAAGAGGGATGGTAGAAGGTGGCAGGGAAGAAAAGATCAATGTGTGTTCTGGGCAATGTCTCCATCCCATGGCACAGGGAATGCAAGGGACTGGGTCTGATGACATGGGAGGCTCCTTCTGGTGCCCCTTATCTTCTCTGATGCTTCTTTTCCTTTCTCCTGCAAACCAGCTCATCTTCAAACTCACTGTCACTCACCAAACATTGCCACCAAGGCTGAAGAGGAAGGGAAGGTCTAGCCACTACTGGCAAATTGGGCAGTCCTAGAAAGGTTACGCTATGAGAGGAAAAGAAAGGAGAAGCAAGAAAAATATCCTTCAGTCTTGGGAATCCATAGCTGGCAGCCATCCCATACAGCACCAGAGGCAACAGCTTTTCCCTGGCTCGCTCAATGCTCCATCAGCAGCAAACTCCAGCGGGCCAGGACACACTCCTGTCCTTCCCACACTGTGGAAAACATCCACCTCTACCGAGAGTTGCTGAAAGCAGGAAATAAAACATCAGGAAGACAAAACTAAAATGGTTGGTCTCCTACACAAGCTGAAAGAAATCCTAGCTTAGTGGCATGAGTATCTCTGGGCACACATTGAGGCAAGGAAGGGCCTGAACACAGAGATGAAAGAAGAGACAGGAGACTTCAGTCAAAAAAGAAAAAAGTGGCAAAAGAATATACTTGGCAAACAAGCAGCCTATTCAATTCTAGTCGCAGATGATGTCAAGCCATGAGCCAGCCAACTGTGATTCCCAGCACAAGGAAAACACAGCAGGATGACACACAGACATTAACTCCCTAGTAGTCTTCTGGAAATCTGCCATCTCTTTCCTTTCCCAGGGGTAAAGAAAGATGTTTTGCTTGGCCCTACCAGGGATAAGTTCATTAACATGGGCATGAAGACACCCTTAAATTTGTACCTACTCAGGAACATACCTGCTGTTTCCTTACTCCTCACTCTCCGAGATCCCTAGAAATTCCTCATAATGTAAGAGGCTGAGTAAATATTACCTCCTCCAAGAGTTAGTTAACCCCTTCAGCAATATCTGATACTTTAATTTCAAATGAAGGTGAAAGACAAGGGAGCTGGAACCGCATAGCTTAAAGGAGGCTGTGAGAGCAACCTTGAAGCAGTAAAATCTTCACCGTGGGGAAAGGACACTGGAGGACACTGAGGAAAAGGGCAGCTAGTGCTGATCCAAGTCCACGTCTAATAGAGGCTGCTGTGTGGTGCTCGGGGTAGAAGTCCCCTAGGAACCAGCTGTAGATGCTGTTCTACAGCACCAGCTGGCCTGGATGGGAATTACAAAGAGATCTTGCTAGGGATTTTTCTGTCCCATGAGGACACTGACATCAGATATGATGGTCTGGAACAAAAAGGGAAGGACAGCATCCAAATAACCATCTCCTTGCAAATGACTGTTATTCTGGGAAGCAATTACCCCCTGTGCCACACACCCCTGACTCTGACACTCTTCTGAAATGCATGTGGGAAATGAGAATGTCCTGCTAGGGCCAGACCACTGCCACCTCACAGCGCAGCATCAGCCCATGGCCATCAGAAGCTGAACTGTCATCACTAAGTTTGGTTTCTTTGTGTTTGACTTTTGGTTCTAGAAATGAAACACTAAAGGAAGAAAACTATGCATTATTAACAAATGCTCTGCACATAGTTTAACTTTAATCGTGTTAATATTTTTTGCTTAGAAACAGCAGAAAGCAGGCTCTTTGATGGCTACACTGAATCACCACCTAATCAGAATACCACTCCTGTAATGTGCATCTATCATATGTGCCCAAAGGCTATCTAGCACCTTTCTACAAAACCTCACTGAAGCACGAGCAATATCCCTTCAACCTCCTACAGAAACGGGAGGGAGGGAGGCAGGGAGTCCTCTTTTCGGTGGAGTAAGAACATAAGCGATGCAACAATTCATACTTTAAGGAGAGGCTCAATTTCTCTCTCCTCACCTGCCTTCAATGATACATGGAGTCTCACCTGACTCAGATGCTGAAAAATACATTTCAAGAAGTCATCACTCTCGTGAGTCACGAGAGAAGGGGAGGAAATGACTCCATGAGATATGATTCAACTAAGGGGAGAACTGAGACAGAAGAAAACACAGGCTGGAGAGTGGAAAAAGCTGTGGGAGCCACATTGCTTATAAGAAGCTTTGCACAATGTCATCCTGATCTCTACAAGGAGAGAATTCAGTAGGTCCAGTTTCTCCTCCTCCCATTAACTTCCCCATTTCCAGATGTTGTTGTTATTACTTGCTGTCTCAGACTGATGGTATTTACATGCAAACTGGGTGCAAGAGATTGCTCCTTCCAGCAACTGCACTCTGAAGAGGTCCTCTCCAAAGGACCAATTTGGGTCATGGGATCATTGTTTCCACTGTAGCAAAACAGCAACAAGCGCTAGTTATCTAACAAGTGCTACCAGAATCGCTTCTCTGTGTTGGGTCCAGCAATGGACGAGCCCTTGACAGTGCAAGGAACCAGTCCTGCCCAAAAAACCAAAGCAAAAATGAAGTCAAACTGGAGGACAAACAAGGTTATCGTACCACAGGCACCATTCCTACCTTTGTCCTAACAGTAGGAGATACACAAACTCTTTTTCAAGTCTGTGCGAGCCACAGAAAAGGAAAAGGAAAAAACACACTGACTGATCTGCTGAAATTCAAACAGCACAGTGGAAACCACTCAGCTCCATTATGCTGTACTGATCAGTGTTATTGCCCTGCCCATCCCACAGGAGGCACGTGATGTCCAGATGCATGTCAAGTTTGTGGCTAACTTCTGTCATGCACGCCTTCCTCTAACATCTACAGACAGGGTACATCTTTGGAAGTTTTAATAGACAATACATGCACAAACATGTATACAAACTATACAAACAGTGACCGCTGCTCATGCTGCAGTGAAACTGCTCCTAGTGACAAAAATGTCCTCTCCTGGGCCAAATCCCACAAGAGCTCTGCTCCTGCTCTCCCTCACCTGAGTCACGTCCTTCCTCCTGAGGAGGGCTTCCCTTGGCTTTGCAACTGTCCTGTATCATCTTGCTACCTCCTGCCTTTTTCAGTGCCTTTGGAATTTCCTTCTGGAGGGATCCCACAGTGCTTGGGCCTTGGCCCCACCTTTTCTCTCCTTCTTCTTCACTTCTGCCAATCCAAACGCAGTGGTGACAGTGCCCACATAGCTAGATCCACCTCAGCTCCTTCCAATCAAACTAAAATGTTTGGCATGAATTCCAAATAGGCCTAACCTTTACACAGGGGTCAAATGCACAGTCTTCTCTGCCCAGACTCCTACAGCTATTATCTTTGTCAATCACTGTAGACAACCCCATACTAGTCAGTCAGGCAGGCAAGCCTTCAACACCCTTGACTCAGATCCCACTAGAGCTTGAGACTCCCCTGGTCTACAGGGGTGCTAATACAACAGCTACACTACCTGCTTTGAGCCTTCCCCTTGTCTACCACCCAGCAAAAGCACCTCCAGTTAACCAAGCTGCAAACCATGCCCAGTTGGCAGTGCTGCCAGACGTGAACTGCAGAATTTCATCCTGCGTGGTACAATCAGGTACTGGAGAGGACATTACAGCTCTCGGAAGTGAAACTCTTGCATGGCTCTCGTATCGCTCTGCAACAGAGAGAAAAATCTCCATTTCTCCAGCCTGGCAATTACTTGTCTCTACTCCAGGAGTGGAGAACACTGTAGCAGAGCACAGCCCCACCGCCGCCTCATCGCAGACGCCGTCAGGTTTTGTGCCTGCACCATGAGCAGGTTACCTTGCTCCACTCCAGATTAAATGAATTCATTTAAAAAGGAGTGTTACAAAATAGGACAGTAGATTGGAAATGTACGTGGGCGCCCATGAGGGCAATTCACATACGCAGTCAATCACCAGATTCAAGTGCCAGGCACCAGCACAAAAACATTTCAGTTCATGCTCTCCTTAACAGGAAAAAAACCTACTTGTCTGAAATGTTTTCATAAGCTATTGTAGGGAAGCTGAAGTACCTTTGCTCCCTCTCCCCACACATCCAGTTAAATGACTGGGTAGCGTTTTGCAGTCACTTCTATTCCTGTGGCAGCACCTTTAAGAGTTAACATGACGGTGAAAGGAGATAGGAATCTAGAAGATTCCCGTAGTAGATCCTTACAGCGTGAGGCTAAGAAGTATCATGTAAGTATACTCCAGAAAAACATTCATATGAACCTGTGCGCCTGCAGGAGATGAGGTTCCCAGAAGAGGCCACACAACCATAGAAATTACTGAGAAGGTGAGATCATAATCTTACACCAGCATCCACCCTTTTCCTTAAGCACAAGCTTATATTTCTGTCAAATGATTAGCACATGGGGGCATCTCCTTACCTTTAAAGCACGGACTTTCTTGGCCAAGAGGCTCTCAATGTCCCCCGCAACCTTCTCCACTAATTTCCTGGGCACATTCTCCTTGACTTCAAACAGGTTTCTATTCTCATTGTAGATCTATGAAGGGAAATAAGAGACAGACATACAGTCAGTATAATAGCTAAATACAGCAAATAGTCTTCCCACAGAGAGGCTGACCCTCTAACACAGAAGAATTTTAGCCACGCTAATTAGGTAACAACATAAGCTTTGGAAATGAGGGGAACGAGGGAAGAAAGGCTTTGCAACTGGAAAAACACATGCGATCCACTGCCCTTACCACCAGCTTTACGGTTTCTTCCCTTCACACCTGCAGGCCACAAGCATCCCCCTCTCGCTCAGAAGTCGAGCTGTCCACCACACTGCCCACGCATCCACACCTCTGTTGAGCCAAACCGGCAGTGGAGGCAGAGCCACCTCATTTCCTCCTGTACTTTTCTGTGTTTATATGCGTGCTTGTGCTCAAGGCTTGCAGCTGTGACCCACGGCCTGCTCTTCCAAGCCACATTGCACAACTACAGAGGACAGTGTCAGCCCCAAGGGACACGCTACTGGCACCAGCACTGGCCCAACAAGAAGGGATCTGTCCAGCAGCGTCTGCTCCCATAACCAGTGAAGCGTTAATGACTGTCTCGACAATGTCAGCACAGGACTTCTGAATCACCAGTGCCTCAGTCACCTCCTCAGGGCATCTATTTGACCTGCTAATTCAGCCTGTCTGCAAACTCAGGTGCAACCAAGATAGGGCATAGGAGGAACTTTACAGTCATGTAAGATCAGAAAAAAAACTTTATGCTGTGTAATTTTTTTGGAAGTTGTTTGAAGGGAACTACGTAGCAAACACCACAAGTTTTCTCTTGCTTCTCCCTGAATCCTCGGGCTACTTGTAAATATACACCTGGAATTCCAGGCACGAAGATTTCTGGCAGCAGAAAACCCTCCAAGGAGACCTGGACCTTTCCGAGGAGAAAGCTCACGAGCTTGCATACTCCTTGGGAGCTGAATCATAGCATCCCATCCTACCTACCAACAAAAGCAAAGGGGAACAAAAAACCCTTCTCTGGAGCTTCATTAAAAGCAAAACAGTCTGCCTATTTGACTGCCAGTTTGTTGCAGACCTGACCATTACAACAACGGAAGAGACCAGCTGGTGTAGAAACTATTTCTCACGGAACACCTGCACGTTCCTGCCCTGATCTGCCTTGGGTCTCGGAGGAGCACCAAAATACAAACCATAAACAGCCCGTTTCTGTAATGTAGATGTGTACCTCAGAAAGCACTGCATTTGGGCCAGCGCTGGCAGCACCAAGGAAGGACTGAAAACAGGTTTGGCCTAGAAACGCTCACCAGGTTGACATCATTACCATGAATGCTTCCCTTGGTGCTGCCAGCACAAATAAAGCTAGTGAAACCCAGCACTTTAAGGGCAGGCAGGGCTAGTGCCCCGGATCCGGAGAGCAGCAAATCACATAGCCACGGCTATGGCCACTGCACAGCTAAGATCTACTTCCTGCAAGATATTTCTAAGCATCCAGGAAGACTACAGCCACCAGATGGATCAGTGACCTGATCTAGCACAAGAACTCCATGTCCTGTTGGATGCTGGAAGAGCCAAAGAGAAGAAGGATTGTGCTGGCACTACCTGTACAATATTAATGGACAAATGGGGCTCTACTCCCTACAACTGCCCCGGCTGATGCAGCCTATCATTGCAGACTTATTTAGGAGATGTAAGAACTCCTGCTCTGTATCAGGAGAGCAGAACTCCTGCTCTGTACCTGTATCTGCGCATCAGGAGAACAAGGATCACAGTTAACCAGCTTGATGTACACCGAGTCCAAGACAACACAAGGAATGGATGATGGTTTGGGCTGCTATTTAGGAACAGCAAAGCTGTTGACTATGAAGTGCAGTCCAACATGATCTTTACTTCGTTCCTACTTCAGGAGCTCAGGAACATGATGGAAACACCGTAGAAGACATCCTTCTGATATGCTCTCAGATTACTTTTTCCACCCTTTTTCTTTTCCAGAAATTCGTGAGCAGGAAGCAGCTCTGCTCAATGGAAGGCAGCTGGCAATGAATACAGGAGTCTGAGTAGAGAAGCCACCCCTCCTCCCCAGCAGCCTTCTGGGTTCCCCGCAGGAGTACATTCTGAGACTAAGCCAAGCGGTGCTCTTTTGGCATTGCACAGTCCCTCCAGACCTACAGGGTTAATCTTCAGGCTTCAACTTTGCTCTTTAAGACTCTTGCTGCAGTCCCTATTTTGCCCAAGCCTTCCGATGAGTCAGCTCCTCCTTTCTTCTGTATCACTAGCAAAGTCCTGACAACACTCCTCTCGTCAGCCTTTCCTCCAGGTACACCACTCCTTGATTCTAGCTCTGCTCCTGGCACCTATTTTTCAACGAAAGAACAAAATAAAACAGAAAAAAAAACACCCTAGAGATTCAAGTAATTTACCTTGGCTGCCAGGGGTGACATACCACCCCACTCCTATCAGCAGAGTGGCACACAAAACGCTCAGAACTGCTCATCTCTGAAGCTTCGGGAGAAAACGGCATTCTTGTAAATTCTCCTGGTTACTGACCTGCAAGAACTCTGCACAGGAGCAGAGACATAGCAAGCCAAACATCTGCAATACTAGCCTGACTCCTCAGGCCCTAGGAACAGCTTTGCTCCACCACCCTCTCCAAGCCCCCTGCTCTCTCAGGCCCCAAGATCCACTGGTTTTTAAAGGAAGAGGAAGAACCAGCTCCAGGCACTAAGTTTTTCAGCCAACCTGACTTCAAGGGCTCCACCCAAACCATTTTGGTTCCCAAACTACCTAGCTTCCACAGCAATTTGGCACCTCCTGTCTTTTACTATAGGTGATCATTACATGAGGGCAGCGATGCCAAAGAGAATGATTAGCAAGACGACACTTTCTAGAGGCACCCTCAGACTCCGGCAGGAGTAACGTTTAGGTGTTTTGCATTTTTGAGCCCCATCACACCCCAAGCCTCAACAGTCAGAAAGTCAGCTTCTGCCAATAGCAAGAGATCCTGCGCTAGAGGAAAAACCCCTCACATCAGCACAGAGGCTTAAAGTGAGCAAAACAACACAAAGCAATATTCTCTCATGCTCTTTTTTCACTTTGGTAAGTAACAGCATAACAAAATAATGTGTTTGGAAGGCGCGCTACCTCCAGCTGAGCGGCAGCAATTAGGAAAGCAAAAGAAGAACAATCTTCAAGGAGAAAGCTTTGGATAAGGAGGGCGTCCTGACATTAGTGTTTTCTATTATGAAATAGAAAATTGGCTCCTATTGGTTCCAGGCAGAAACAGTGACTGTCCACAAGGGAGGAGAGAGGAGAAGAAAAAAAAAAAAAAACCCACACCATACACACAAAAACCACACACACACCTCCAGAGCACCCAGGAGATGTTCCTCCGTGCTCTCTCTGCAGCTGCAGAGCTGTGCAGACCCTCTTGGCCAAACAGTTTATCTGTGTTAATGAGAACAATTCAACACAAATTAATAGTGACCATACATGCACAAGAATATATTAGATAAGGAGGGGAATGGCAGTGCTCCACACAATTAAGATAACTTTATGCTTTTTGGATCGTTTAAAACGTGGCTGGGTTTAGCTCATGAAGATGACATTTTTCATACTGGTTTTTCCCTTGAATTGAATTAAGGGCAGAATTTTCTGGTCAAAGACATTCCTACCATTTCTCAGCTATGGCAAAGCACTCTGATTTGCCCGTAGTAGAAGAACATTGAGAATCATTGAGATTCTCCCATGACCCTATGCTCTGGAATATGGGTTTGGAATTTGCAACAGCAGCAGCCTGGGGTCAGGAAACTGCTGCTTCCGAGTCCATGTAGAGACACTCAAATCAAACCATGCTATCAGTCTCGAGGAGAAGGGGGAATGCATTTTGCACGCTCTTGGCGGACTGGCTTTTCATCAGAAGATTTTGCAATCCCTTTGTGAACATGCCCCATCCCCTTACAGTCGGCACATGCCACCCAACGGGCAGGAACATGAGGGTGAAGCCAAATTCTTCTTGCAAAACTCCATATATATATATGTGTATATATACACACACACACATATGTAAAAATAAGTGTGTGTGTGTGATGTGGCAGACAGGAAAAGGGCTGCAGTCCCTGCATTAGCTTTGCTCAGTGCAGGGATTTAGGCATGGAAGAGGGAGGAGGAGTCCAGAGTCCAGCACTGGAAGTGTAGAGCAAACTGGCAAATGGCAAGAGCAGGAGGAAGACACTAAACACAGGCAAAACAACAGAAATTACCAAGCTGAAATTAAAAAGAAATGGGGGGGGGGTGCAGAAAGGAGGGGAAGAATCAAGCAACACAAGACAACTTGTAATCTGAAAAACTTCATCCCAAATACTTCAAAGCATAGTACAATTATAAACAGCTGAGAATATGATCTAAACCAGCAAAGCACTAAGTAGCCTTACTAAAAAGCAGAGCTAGTAACACAACCAATTATCAATATACATTCACAGCAGCAACTGTATAATCGAAGAGGCAAATCTGATATTGCCTCAGAACGTTCATTCTCCAAATGCACTTGTTTGCCTTGCTCCTAACGCACAATAAGTGATGCTCATCTCTGCTATTAATTCCCTCAGTGCCTACACATCCAGTGAGTTGTCAAGGTTTAAGAAAGCATTTGCCACTACTCAATCCCCTAGGCGCGCACCAAGCACCATGCAACTGTACCCAAGAAGAGACAGAAAAGGGGGCAGAAATACTCCCGTTCCCAGAGTGGCTCACTGAGACACCACGAGGAAGCCAAGCACCTTCCCACGGTTCAGTTTGACCAATCATAAAACATTCAGGAAAACAGCGAAAATTCGGGGTGGGGGGGGCGGGAGGGTTCCCTTTACAGCACCATTACCACGTGTGCCTTTCAGCACCACGAGAAAGCAAAAATTGTTATTCAGCCCCAGCCGTGCTGTTTCCCTTGGCTGCCTGGTGACACGCAGGGCTGGAAAGGGCTGCGGACCTCAGTCCCAGCCAACGGGCAGGGTGGACACCCTGCTGCTCTGGCAGGAATCACTGC